ATCTAGGCTCCGACAATGGCATTAGCCGAAACGGCCGTCAGTCAAACTTCACAGTTTAATAAAGTTGAAACAAAACAGCTTCGTGTTGTTGAAATTTTATTAAAAAAACTTCTAACTGCAAAATGGGGTGTAATCTTCAACCGAACATGTTTATATATATATATATATATATATATATATATATATATATATATGTTAAATTTATTTGCCCATTTTGCATTTATCAACTTTTTTATTATGGACTCAACACAGCGTAGTTTTTGACATTCATATTTATTGTGAAATTGTGACATATTAGAAGGTGACAACGTTGTTTCGGCTAAGTAGCCATCATCAGAGCCTAAAACCAATGAAATATAAGAAATTTAATTAAATTAAATGAGAATTAAACGAATTATGTAAATTATTACATTTATATTACATAATATCGTATATCTAGCCAATGAAAACAAGTTAAATTAAACTAAAAATGAGCAGAAATTACTTAGAACAAAAGTGATCATCAAAATTTATTAAGTTAAACAAAACAATTGAATTCATGTAAAAAAAGTTGTTCTCAATTAAGACAAAAATCTCGACATAAAGACATAAATATATATATATATATATATATATATATATATGTTGGTAATAGACCATAATTCTTACAATATTCTATAAATTCTACCGAATGTTTGGCGTTAATATGTTTGTATTTCGTTTTTTCAATTTTTTTCACTAAAGTTTTTTGGTGAACGTTTATTTTATTAAAATTCAAAATAAACTTATTTTCCGAATTCATGCTGCAAATAAGGCCATATTTCGATTCCGAATGAATCATCATCAGTGCTTTCTGCTGTTTATAAAGGAAAATATAAATATAAATATTGACAAAGTCAATATTTTCCTATATAAACAGCAGAAAGCACTGATGATGATTCATTCGGAATCGAAGTATGCCCCACAAACCAACAACCATCACTCCAGTACATTCACTCTACTTCAATAAAGTTTTGACTATTTAAGTTTCTGGTATGTCGCATGAGCTTTCACCATAGAGGCCACCCACAGACGGCATTCGACACAAATTTGAGAAGAATATAAAGATTAAGGATAAAGTGGTCTGATTCTCTCTTAGCGGCACACGAGCTTCCACCATGGTAATTAGCCACAGTAGATTCCCGATGCACCTCGAGAGAAATGCAAAACTGCACATATCCTCCCGAAGATATTAGAGTTTTTACTATAGTATTTAGCCAAAGCAGATTCTCAACACACCCCTAGCGAACCGTACAATCAATCAATCTCCGTTTAGCGTCCAGGGACCAAGTTTCACGAGGTAGGACGTTGTTTTTTTTGCCATCAACTTTTTGCGCCAAATTAAACGATCATTTGTATCCATTTCATTTGAATTTAGAGCTTTCATATCTTGCTCGATTGTTTGCGACCAGGACTTCTTTGGACGGCCTTTGGGACGTGTGCCAGGTACTTCAACATCTGCAAAAGAAGTTATGGCACTGTTTCCACTTCGTTTGACATGACCAAACCACCGCCGGCATTCGTCGTTTATATCATTTAAACCAGCACGACGCAGGATTTCGGTAGAGTTGATGTGGTCCTTCAGACTAATTCGTTGCATCCATTGGAGCATTTTCATGTCGGTTGGTTGAAGTTGTTGTTCTAGTTTGGTTGTCATTGGCCATGTTTCTGCACCATATTAACAACACGGGACGTATCACAGATTTATAAAGTTTTGATCGTAGTGGTAGTGGAATGTCACGCCGCATCAATATAGAGGCAAGGAGATGCCATTTATTCCAGGCTGCACTTATGCGAGCTCGAACGGCAGCTTCAGCTGTTCCAGTACAATCTAGAATATCCCCTAGATATTGAAAAGATGTGACTTTCTCTACCTTAATGGCTTCAAAACATTGCTATTTCGAATTTGTTGCTGTGGATTGATGCAAGCAAGACAAACGAAATTGGACACTTTAGATAAAGTACCAATTATTTTTGAACGTTTGTGACACCACTAGTTACACTGCTGACACTTGATTGAATTGTTACCTACACCAGCTTCACAAACTGAACAGGGCCATCGTCCAGTAGCTGTGGATTGGATGGGTTCACCAATGTTCATTGTTTTGGTTTAGCTGATGTTGACTTTGAATCCATGATTTGCGAGTCTGGTATTCCAAACTTCCAACATCTGTTCTGCATTCTGCTCAGACGTGGCTGTTAAAACGATATCATCAGTATATACTAGATTCCAAATGTCACCAGTGCGTATCGGTTTTGTGATTTCTTCCATCACAGTTATAAATAACAGTGAACTGAGAATCGAGCCTTGGTGAACTCAAACGCTCATGTCAAATGCATCTGTGTTTCCAACAATTGTGCTGACGAGAGTCTTAGTATTCGTATACATTTCCATCACAAGTCGAACAAGATATTTTGGAATGAGTTGTCGACGTAGACTCCACCTGATTGCTTCACGGAGAACTCGATCAAATGCTTTTTCAATGTGTACAAAAATGTGTGATAGTTGTTGATGCTTTGCGAGGTACTTTTCTTGCAGTTGCCGAAGGATGTGAATTGCATCATTTGTTGATTTCCCCGCTTGGAAACCAAATTGATAATTTCCGATTGTAATGCACGACGTTAATTTTCTCTCAATGATTTTCTCAACAATTTTCAGGGAGTGTTCTAACAGTTCAATGGATCACCTTTGTCTTTGTTTAGCGGAACTGTCATGCTATAGTTCCATTCAGTCGGCAATGAGAAATTTCTCCACACTTCACGGCAAAGTTGTGGTAACTTTTGGATACCTGCAGTACCAGATGCTTTGATAATATCATTTGTGAATCCAGTGGGCCCTGCTGCCTTTCCATCCTTCATGGCTTTCGGAGCTTCTGTAAGCTCCTCTACAGTGATGTCTGAAATCGGGCCTTCTATGGGTGGAGTGTCAAAGTTGACATTGATGGGTTTTGTTTCATTTAACAGACGGTTGAAGTCTTCTCTCCATTGTATCTTGATTTCATAATGTTGAAGAACCATCTAATTTTTGTCGTTTATGATACATGAGGCACCAACTATGTATTTTTTCGTACGCTTTGCTTGTTTTGCTATACGATTAAGAGATTTCATTTGTTCACCTTTGCTTTTAGTGAGCCACTCTCTGCACTGATCTGTTCGAGCCAGTGCGACTTGACGTCTTGCATAGTTGTTCTTCTCACGGAAAATTTTATGGTCATCAACAGACTGATTTTTGCCATTGCTTGTATGCAGCTTTCTTTTCAGCTATTGCATTTGTACACTGTCATTCCACCACCATGTGTCTCGTTCATGCTGACGTTTTGTACCAGTTTTCCCCCAAACTGTAGTTGCAGCGTTTATCAAAACGGTTATGTATGTACTCCAATCTGTACTGGCTTGCGATTGGTGTTCTAACTCTGTTGCGACAATCTGTTGAAATTTTTCTCTATGGATATTGCTTTTCAGCTTCCACGTTTTGATTCTCCGAGGCATTTGTTTAGACTTATGTTTTGACAGTTTGACAACCAGGTCTGCCACAAAAAGTCTATGTTGGGCGACACATGATTCGCCAAGTATAACTTTGACATTTTTGAATAGCCTTTGGTGTTGTTGCTTGACAGCGAAGAAATCAATTTGCGTAGCTGATGGTCCAACCTCTTTCTAAAATATGTGTTCAGTAAACAAAATCCGTGACTTTCAGCAAACTCAAGGATGCGGTTGCCATCTTCATTCCGTTCTCCAAAAGTGCCATGTACGTTGTTAAAACCATCTGTTTTCTTTTCAACGAGGCCATTGAAATCGCCTCCAATCAGGATTGTTTCAGATTTTGGTATTGTTGAGATGGTGTCAGAGAACGCAGCCTAGAAGTCATTTTTCATCTCTTCTGATTCGCCTGTCTGTGGTGCGTATGCAGAAAAAATAATCATTGTTTGTTTTTCTAGGCAAAGCTGGATCCACATGAGACGTGGATTAATTCTTTTAATATCCATCCAGTACTTCTTGAGCTAGCGGTTCTTTGACAAAAATTCCAACACCATTTTTGGCCGTCTTTTGACCATTCCAGAATAGTTTATATTTTTCTTTGTCTGAGTTATTATTATTGTTACTGTCCGAGCGAGTAAAAAAACCACATCATAGGCGTTTGAGCCTTCAACATAGTATTTGGTAACAATAGATTCTCGACACAACCCGAAGAATTTTCGAGCCTCAATCAAGAGAAATTTTTAGGGGAGGGTTGGGTACGTTGAGATGAAAAAATGCAAAATACAGCAAAATGGAGAAATTTTTTTATTTTAAAATATATCCCACATACAGGTCAAGGAAGGAACTAATGTTGACGGAGTTACAGATTTCCGGTGTGCGTATCCCACAAACTCTGCAACTTCATAAATACTAGCTGATTCACCATGATTTCTCACTAACCATGAGTTTATAGCATCATTGTAAAATTTAGAAAATGAAGAGTACACAGAAACATCCAATGGTTGTACCTGATGAGATGTAAGTGTGAAGGTATTGTAAGAACTACAGCACCGTGTTCCTATGAAATATAATTACTAAAGTCAATAAAAATGTTTTCTTTTATCTTTACATTTAACATTAGCATTAAAACAATGATTAAACAGAAACATATAAAATTAAATTAATTATACAAAATTAGCAGCCAACTTTTGCTAAGTCGATAACTGGAAGAGACTTTCATGGTTGTCAAAGATGAGCAACAAAGGATTTTCCAAGGAACTGTAAGAGTGTTTTATGAAATGCTCCATCACAGGCAGAAAAAGTTCTGCAGTCATTCAACCAGTTTTGCAAGTAATTTATATACCTAAGCTTCTTGGTGTTAAAAGTTAATTGGCTAAATCCTCATTCTAGACCAATGCATCGACACAGCCCAATCAAGAAATCCCTTTCGACTGCCTGATTTCAGGAGTTGTTTCAGTGAAATTTATATCATATCATAGTAATTAATCTCTTTTAGGTATTCTATCATTAAAACAGTAGCGGATCTAGACAACTTTGACGGGGGGGGGGGCCAAAATTTAAAAAATATTTAAAAGTTTAATTTTTTTCAAATTTGGACAGGGAGCCAAGATTTGTGGTAGCGTTGCCAAAAGTAGGCTGGCGACCTTTTTTTGATATAAAATGGTGTTTTTCATGCAAAAGCTGAGTTCTTTTAATAAATATACTGCTCACAACTGGGTGATGGTCTCTCTGGCCTTACCCCAAGATCCGCCACTGAATGTATAATATATAATGTATATAATATATATATATATATAATAATGTATAATAAGTATAATACATATACATTCAGTGGCGGATCTTGTACATTCAGTACTGTATTTTAATAGCGCTCTGAAATTCCCGTGATTGTTATCAGATTTGAGATCTAATGCACCGTCATCACGGTGTCCACGCAAAGCAAAATTCTGTCTTTCACAAAGTTTAATAGTTTCAATAATAGTGTTAAGCAATTTTCTGTTTTGCTCTATTTTTGTGGAAAGAGCGGAGTTTAATAACATTAAAACATTAGTTTTATATTTAATCAAACTCAGAAACATTTCTGATTTTTCTGTAGCCTCTCTATGAAAAGATGTCGCTTGATGACAGCGATATTGATCTAAAGCTGATTTATAACTTTTTAAAGGTGATATAACAAATATTCCGACTGAGCCACATGATGGATGTCGACTAGCATAAAGTACACAAAACTTACAGAATGCTCCTTTTTCAAATCAGAATAAGACAGCCAGAAAAATTCTTGAAACCAATGGAATTTAAAAAACCATTTTCTTTTACCTTCCAGCACAAATGAAAATTTATAATTCTTGTCAGGTTTCCATGGATTTTTCAAAAGATCATATCTTAAATTATTCAAAATGCTTGGGATTTCTGCAGTTGCATATTGTCCAATATCTAAAGGTATTGTTTTCTTTGAAAAACTCTGACATGAATAACCAGTTTTGTCTGAAACATCAGTAATGTCATCGTTTAAATTTAATAAAAGGCCTTCTTCAAAGACATCAGATTCTATAATGAAAAAAAAAATTGAGATTAAATTTTTTAATTTTCTTACCAAACCTGAATAGTGTTCAACAATACAAACTTAATTCAAGTTTAGTCGGGTAATGACTAGTATGCATTAACCCTAACCCAAAAATGTTTTTATTATTCAGCTTATTTCTTATTTTTTTAGTTGAAAATACAAAATTATTTCATATGCACTTATTGAAATATCTAGGTATTACCATTAACGGCCTCAACTGTATTGAGATCATCGCACTGCTTCTGTTTTTTGCCAGAGTCGGTTAAAAAAAGTTTAAAATACTACTTTTTTTAAAAGACATTTTTTTTAAATCTTAAAACAAATTCAAATGCAAACTGATTTTATGAAACACAAAAAATAATATAAGACGCGCCAAATCGTAAATGGAATAAAATGTGAACTGCAAACAAAACATAAAATTATGAAAAGTCTAAATAAGTAAAGACTATAATATTTTTTGATTAAATTTTTGTTGATGTTAGTTTTCAATAAAAAAATACACTAAGAAAACATAAATTATTTTTATTTTGTTCCGCAAAACACTATTTAAGTTTAAAATATGAATTATATTCTGAAATAAACTTGTATCAAATTTATATAATAAATCAGCGTTATTTTTTATTGTTAAAAAGAGTCGATCTCAAATTTTTTTTAATTATTTAACGATGTTTTGAATTGAACTAATGATAACGGGGGAGCCATGGTCTCCCGACCCCCCCCCCCTTCTAAATCCTCCCCTGCATTGAAATGATATTTTCTTTTATTTTCAGAATGTCAACTAGATTATCAGGCAAGGACATGGATATAATGGATATGGCATAAAAATTAATTTATTACAAAAATTGTTTTTTGTTCTATGGATCAAGCATTGTCGTTGTCTTCTTCAGCGTCTTTGATTAATCGTCTGATCTGAAATTATCGCTTGCAAAGTTTGCTGTTTTAAATTCGATTTCGTATTGCATTTTATATACTATATTTAATACATTTGAAAAGAAGAGGGATTAGTATAATTTTCTGCATTTATACATTTCGTTTTATACATTTTACATTCCTACTACATACATACATACATATACGATTATACACATACATAAGTACACATGACATTGAGATTAAACTATTAGAGAATCTTAATTCTTAACTTGTCAAAATAATATTAAAAACAATAATATATTTTTAATTAAAAAATATTTGCTTAGTATTTGATTTGACAGACACAGATTCTCAATCGAATCAAAATGCCTGTGTGTTCCATTACTTACAAAATGCAACTCATCTTATTTAGATGAAAAAGTTACTTTACACAGGTTTCTTTAATTTAGACTATACTATATACTATACTATAGCTATAAAGTATAACACTACAATATATTTATGATAATTAGCAAACAATTATATATAATAATATAATATAATACTAATAAATAATATTAGTAACATTATAAATGCATTAAATGGTAATGTTAACTCAAAGTTGTGTAAATAATTTGTGCTGATATTAATTAAGTTTAATTTAAATTCAGACTGCCAAAGAATGATATTAAGAGAACAATGCATTAACAATCATTAACAACATTGCCAATAACAGACTATTAATAAACTATTCCTAACATTTAATAAACAGATTTGTCATGTAACAAAGAGGCAATTAAAAATGAAAACCGAGCAACATGAAATGAATACTAAATTGGTAGTTTCAAATGTTTTTAAAAGGTTGGCCAATGAAGATTTATTAAATCTCAAAGAACATATAACAGATACATTTAATGGATTAAATAATCATTATTTTTGTTTACTTAGACTTATTGCAAAAACATATACAAATGTACGTTCATTTCATTTCGCAAAAACCACAAATCAAATAAAGATCCGTTCTAAATTTCATAAGTTAATAAATTTCAAGGAACAATAAAATCATTTATCAATGAAAAGATTTATCAACCATTTGTAAATTTTGAATTGTTTGATTTACTTAGTAATTATATTTGTTTCATATATATATATATATATATATATATATATATATATATAACATTCTTTTGCTATCTATTGGTAAAATCTGTATTTTTTATTTGGTCATTATGTTTTCATAAAACCCGTCACTCTATCATTTTCATTATTTTATATTTCATTTATTTTTTTATCTATGAAACCATTATTTTCAAAATATTTTAACATACTTTAACATACTTCTATCATGTTTCATTTCTAATTAAGTTTTCACATTTTATTTATTCATTTGAAACAATAAATGGCATCTCCTTGCCTCTATATTGATGCGGCGTGACATCCCACTACCACTACGATCAAGACTTTATAAATCTGTGATACGTCCGGTGTTGTTATATGGTGCAGAAACATGGCCAATGACAACCAAACTGGAACAACTTCAACGAACCGACATGAAAATGCTCCGATGGATGCAACGAATTAGTCTAAAGGACCACATCAAATCTACCGAAATCCTGCGTCGTGCTGGTTTAGATGATATAAAGGACGAATGCCGGCAACACCGTCTGCGGTGGTTTGGTCATGTCAAACGAAGTGGAAACAGTGCCATAACTTCTCTTGCAGATGTTGAAGTACCTGGCACACGTCCAAAAGGCCGTCCAAAGAAGTCCTGGTAGCAAACAATCAAGCAAGATATGAAAGCTCTAAATTTAAATGAAATGTATACAACTGATCGTCTAATTTGGCACAAAAAGTTGATGGCAAAGAAAACAACGTCCTACTTCGGGAAACCGGGTCTCTGGACGCAAAACGAAGATTGATTGATTGATTGATTGATTGATTGAATATTTGTTATTGTGATATTTATATTTAGATGGAATTGCAACCTATTTAATATTATTTTTTAAAGACTTTACAGGGGGTATTTGTTATGAGATAATTTTTGGGATTGGTTTTTGATTTACCAGGTTTAGGTATTGGCAATACTAATGCATTATGCCATTCATTGGGGACGTCAGCTTGTGTCCAAATATGATTGATGCTTTTTCCAATGCTTGTAGAGTAACAAAGAGTAGTTTTTAAGAGTATTATATATTATTTGGTCTGGGTTTATCATCATGCTTCCGAGTTGATGTTGAAGTAATTGGTACTGGATGTTTGACGTAGTTTGTTGATTGGTAGTTGTCTTGTTGTTGTTGTCCTGTCTTGTCTCGATGGTTCCCGATAAATGGAGATTATTATCTAGATGTGGTATGTTTGGGTTTGTGTGTATGTGTGTGTACGTGTGCGTGTATGTAGTTTGTGTTGGGGATTGATGTTGTGTGATATTGTTGAGAGGTCTTAATTTTACGCTTTGTGTTTCTGTGTTTGTTAATGGTTATTGAAGATTTTTTTCAAGATGTTGTATGTTTGAGTGTAGGTGCGTATGTATGTATTCATGTATGTTGTGTTTACTGTTTAAATAATTACTGGGTTGTCGTAGAGTTTGTTTTGTGTCGGATGTCGTTGATGTGATTGTTGTTGCTGTTTTGGATGGTGTTTGTTTTTTGCTTTTCCCTTCTTTGTGTGTTTGTTCCCGTCGGTTTTTTGGATATGACGTTTACAGCCAATGACTTTTTTAGTTCGTTTGTTGTTAGGTTGGTGTAATGATGTTGGATTGTATGTGTGTGAGTTGAATGTCTTGTTGATGTCCGTGCTGTATGATGTGGAGTTGTTGACGATAGAGTCCATGTCGAACTGGAAGAGTTGATCATCATCATCGTCTTTGTCCATAAAGGAGCTGAAATCAAGGTCGACATTGGGGGTTGCGGGATTAGAGTTGGATGTGATGCTGGTGTTGTTCGTTATGGTAGATGGTGTGCCGGGCTTGGTTTCATCTATTGAACGTTTGTTTTTACCGATTGTTGTTGTTTTGGTGTGTTGTTGCATTGTGATTTGGCTGGTTGGTGTTTTGTATGTATAGTTGTTATCGTACGAAATTTTATGATTAATTTGAATAAATTGAATAATATCGATAAAGTAATTGTTCGAAAAATTGAAAAACTCAGTTACAAACTCAACAATGTGGAAAAGGCGGTGATATTTTTTATTAACTATAAATAAATAAATATATGTGTATGTGTGTGTGTGTGCGTGCGTGTGTGTGTTTGTCCCGCTTTTGAAAATCCAAATGTTGGCACGTATGCATACTCCAAAATCCAAAAATATCGAATTAAAATGCGCATGTGTATATAAATTTGTTGCTGAAAATCTGGAAAAATGTTTGGAACATGTCTATAATAATTTTTAGGCACGAAATTAACAGACTGTATTAGAACAAAGGTTATATGAGACCAGAAAAAAAAGCTAAATATGCTGAAATATTATTAGTATCTAAGAATGATTAGAACAATCAAAATTTGATGATAAAGTCAAATATTACAAGATTATAAAGATCCTCTACAAATGAGTAAAAAATGAAGGTGATGGTGTTAAATGAGATTGATGTACAGAACACTTCTGATGAAAATGATAGTCAAATTGCTCAAAAAATTTTTGATCATTTATCATCTCATTGAACAAGCAATGATTGTGTTTTTGGCGCTTCAACTTGTCTCGTTTTTCTTATTTGAACTAACTAGCATATATTTATTTGTCTGCATCTTCATCATCAGCTCCAGTTGAATATATGTTTTCAACTACGAATTTGAATATGAAATCACGCCGGACACAACTAAGAACTGAAAACTGAACAAAATAAGTTTTATTCACGACAATTTCCGATTTTTTTTTTGTGAAAAATTATTAACATTAACAATTAAAACAGCCTTTGGTTCAGAGAATTTGGTTTTATAAAATAAATAATTATTAATAAAACAAATTTTCCTTGAGAATTTTTTTATAATTAATCATTGATTTTGTCATGGGTTGTCAATTTTTTTCTTGTTTTGGTCCAAATTTGTGTGCAAATGTTTATGAATTGCTTTATATAAAATATTTGCTTAGCTGAACATCAGTCCAAATAAATTTTTTCCAGTCGGAATTTTTATTTTTCGTCTCAGCCGGCTATCCGCCGAATTTTATTGTTTGCGGATTTTGTCGAAGAAATAATTTGGCTTAACATGACATAATGTAACGTAATGTAAAAACACAACATAACATAAAAAAACATAACATAAAAAACATAACATAACAAGGATTATTGTGGTTCTGTAGATATTTCTGTGTGAGAACCACTGGATCGATTTTGACTAATTATATGGATTTAAAATCCCAATCATCCAAGTCTGACTTTAAACTCCTGTGTTGTAAAAGCTGTCACAGTTTTATCGTCCAGCTTATTCCAATGTTCAATAACCTTCGAACGGAAAAATCTTTTTTTATTGTACCTACCCTTTCTTTGAAAAGTTTGTACTGGTGCCCTCTTGCGTTTCTATTTTCTATAAATTGGAAGGATAGGGATGAATCTATTTCATCTTTATCTGTTATGATTTTGTACGCCCGAATAAGATCTCTAGTCCTACGTTTATCCAAAGTTGTCAGTCCACATCTCTTCAATCTTTCCGATATATGTAAGTCTTTCACAATTTGTTAATTATCCTGGTTGCCCGTCTGAACTTTTTCCAACTTTTTGAACGTTGAACTTTTTTGCCCGTCTGAACTTTTTGCCAGTGAGGACTCCATGCATATATGCACTAACGTTTTATATAGATTTAACATATATTTTTTATATTGATTTATCTTTTTTAACGATTGTCTTTTTTATCGTGCCAGCCAAGCGTATTGTTTGCTCTTTTTGCTGCTTCTACACCTTGCGTGTTAAGTTCTCCACTTTTGTCTATAATTATTCCAAGGTCCCTTTCTTCCGATAAAACCTTCAGAGATATGTCTCCAAATTTTAATACATTTTGTTTGTTTTTTATTTCCATGTGAATGACGGAGCATTTATTTATGTTAAATTTCATCTGCCAGTATTCCGTATGGCGCTGATATGGTGAATAAAGCTGGTATATGTTTACTAAATTTATGTAGGTATTACTTAATCTCCTGAAAATAACCGCTGGAATGATCAAATTGTGCTATATTTGTTTTTTTAATTATCGTTATCTTTGCTATATTTGTAATCTTTAGGATTGTAAACCACAGAGGATTGTAAAGAGATATTGAATCTATGCTAAAAATTTACTGCAGAGGTTATATAAAGATTTAAAGACTGGTTTCCCAGAGAGGTTTCAAGGTTTAAAATTCAAATGAAATCAATCGAAAATTATTAATTATATATCAAAGTATAAATAAATAAGATGTAGAAGATAATGCACGATCCTCTCATGCTCTTTGATCAACAAATGCTTGAGAGTAAAAAAATATATTTAAAATCGGTTAAGTAGTGTTTCTGTCACAATATATGCTATATGGCGAGCGAATTACCGCGTTAATCAGTTTTTCATCAAAAGATTTCGGCCATAATATTTTAAACAAAATTAGATTAAAACTGTTATAAAAACCCATAGGTTATATTTGAAATAAATTAATAATTAACGAACAGTTATTATAGACTGAATTTAAGTTTAATTTCAAGTTTTTATACTTCTGGCGTTTGTATTCACGTGATGAAGCTAGATATTTTAAACAAAATTAGATTAAAATTGTTATAAAAACCCATAGGTTATATTTGAAATGAATTAATAATTAACGAACAGTTATTATAGATTGAATTTAAGTTTAATTTCAAGTTATTAATTATATATCAAAGTATAAATAAATAAGATGTAGAAGATAATGCACGATCCTCTCATGCTCTTTGATCAACAAATGCTTGAGAGTAAAAAAATATATTTAAAATCGGTTAAGTAGTGTTTCTGTCACAATATATGCTATATGGCGAGCGAATTACCGCGTTAATCAGTTTTTCACCAAAAGATTTCGGCCATAATATTTTAAACAAAATTAGATTAAAACTGTTATAAAAACCCATAGGTTATATTTGAAATAAATTAATAATTAACGAACAGTTATTATAGACTGAATTTAAGTTTAATTTCAAGTTTTTATACTTCTGGCGTTTGTATTCACGTGATGAAGCTAGATATTTTAAACAAAATTAGATTAAAATTGTTATAAAAACCCATAGGTTATATTTGAAATGAATTAATAATTAACGAACAGTTATTATAGACTGAATTTAAGTTTAATTTCAAGTTTTTATACTTCTGGCGTTTGTATTCACGTGATGAAGCTAGGTAGGTTTCGTGGCAAATTGTAGAAATGACAACAAGAAGGATGAAAAATACGACACCAACTATTAACTTTACCAACGAACTTTGTTAAAGAAATTTTTTTTTGTTTAATGAACTTTGTTCTGTTTAAAAAACTATATAAACCAACTTGCACTGAAGATGATTTATGAAAAATCGAAATAAGGCCTGCAAGATGAATTTTGATGAGAACAGTTTCATTAAATTTTCATGATGAACTTGGATAATTCTATTTTCAATAAATTGAACGATTTTCAAAAAATTCTAATAAGGAAAATTGAAAAAACTAACTTTAAATAGATTAATGCCAACAATTCGTTTACGTTTAGCGTGATGGCGGCACGTTTTTTTGGTGGTTTTGTAATTTGGGTGGATTCTTGTTTTTTGCTTCTGAACAAGGGAGTTCTCTTCTTTTTTACGTCAAAATCACTTTTAGTTAATTTTATGGGCGGAGCCAATTATTCTCGTCTGTTTTAAATTTTCAACGAGTTTACATCGAAATCACTTTTAGTTTCATGGGCGGAGCCAAATATTCTCGTCTATTCTGATTAACATTAAATTAATATTGAATATTTGAATTCAATTTTGCGTCACTTTAGTTTTATTTAAATTTTTATTCCGGATTAATAATTTTTTTAAAACAATGCCTCGAGATCAGAAATTTTTTTTTAAGTACAAATGTTTGCAGTCCGGTTGTCGCAAGATCATTCGCCAAGATAAGTGGAGTTTGCATTGCAGAAAAGATCATGAATATATGCATGCAAGGTTATTCTCTAAATCTAACTAAACTAAACTTAACAGATTTTGAAAAATAATTTGAAAGCTTCGTTTATTTGTGTTGTCTCTTTTCATTTAATTCTTACACCCATTCAAATATCTTTATTACGGATGTGAAGACATAAAAAAAGACATTGTTTCAGTAAAAGACATCTATCTATGGTAAATGGAAACCACAAAGCTCAAGCCAAACTAACTCACCATCTACAAGTTTAATGCCAGCAGGCGGTAATAATGATATGAGAAAATCAAATGATGATATTGGTGATGTTGTTGCTAAAAAATATTTGCCAACAGAGGCAGCTGAATCCAACAGCAACGTTTGTGATTTGATTCAATCTAACAATTCCAACTTGAATGCTCATAGTTTAGTTGAAAAAAATATTGAAAATAAATTTAATTATTGTGAAAATCTAAACTTAGCTTTAGACAAAAATGATGCAGCTCAGTTTTGTGGACGAATATTGAAAAGGCATGAAATAACAACATGCCTGGCACTTGGTGTATATCAACCAAATGACTATTCCTATCCTGTTACTGATGGTTGCAGTTTCCAAAAAGAATGGTTTGAATGTGTAATGCCAGATGGCTCAAAATGTAAGAGACAATGGTTGTCTTACAGCAAACAAACTGACAAAATTTACTGTATTACTTGTATTATGTTTTCCGGCCCAAAAGGTTCAGTTGTATGGACAACATCAGGTTTTAATAATTGGCATAATGGTTTGCGGGATATCATTTGTCATGAAGTAAGTGCAGAGCATCGCGAAGCTGATATTGCAAAAATAAATTAGAAAAGAGGATTGGCCGTAGATGTCTTCATCGAGAGAAATAGAAAAGATATAATTCAAGAAAATAGAAAAGTTATGGTATGCATTTTAGATTGTGTTAAGTACCTAAGTGAAGAAATAATAGCTTTTCGTGGAAAAACATTTAATAATAGAAAGTTTATAAATCTTTTTCGAACAATATTTAAACGGGATTCAAGTGCTGCTGCATATCTGATGAAAGTTGATGAATCACATAGATTAAGAAAGAAAATGGCAATTAATTTTTTAAGTTCCAGCAATATTTGAGTTGAAACGAATGATTGTTGAGAAAATTGTGTCAAATATTGCAGAGCAACAAAAGGCATGTCTTATTTTTGAAAGCACACAAGATTTTAGTAAAAAGGAAGCAAATGTTCTTTTGCTGAGATATATAGAAATAAATAGTAAGGGAGATTTGCATCCAGTTGAAAGATTGTTGGAAGTCTTTACTTGTGGAGAAACATCGGGCAAGATACTCAAAGGAAAAGTTATTGATATTCTGACTAAATTGAATTTTAATATGTCATGGGTGATAGGTCAATGCTATGATGGTGCAGGTAACATGCGAGGTCGGTATGCTGGATTGGCTACTCTTATTCAAAAGGAGTGTAAAAAAGCAATTTATATTTGATGCAATGCACACAGGTTAAATTTAGTGATGAATGACGTTATGAAATGCTGTAATGAAATAAAAAATTGCAATTAAAGCGTGTTCAAACCACTCGCTGGAACAGCACAGAATCAGCCGTAGAAACGATGATGAAAAGATATTCAGAAATATTAGCAAGTCTATACGAGTTGGCTGAATCATCATTGAGTGACAGTGAAACAGTTACTGTTGCACTTGGACTTCGTAAAAGAATGAAAAACATCCGTGTGAAAATTAGCATGAAAATTTTAAAAATGGTTTATAATATTATTGGTCCTGTATCCAAAGCAGTGCAGGGTATATCAATTGACATGGCGTCTGCAACAGAACTGATAAAAGACTGCATTCGTCAGTTTGACATCATAGGAAGAAATGCTGATTTGACGTGGAAAACATCTAAACCAGCACGACGCAGGATTTCGGTAGATTTGATGTAGTCCTTCAGACTAATTCGTTGCATCCATCGGAGCATTTTCATGTCGGTTCGTTGAAGTTGTTGTTCCATTTTGGTTGTCATTGGCCATGTTTCTGCACCATGTAACAACACCGGACGTATCACAGATTTATAAAGTCTTGATCATAGTGGTAGTGGGATGTCACACCGCATCAATATAGAGGCAAGGAGATGCCATTTATTCCAGGCTGCACGTATGCGTGCTCTAACGGCCGTTTCAGCTGTTCCAGTACAATCTAAAACATCCCCTAGATATTGAAACGATGTGACTTTCTCTACCTTAATGGCTTCAAAAACATTGCTATTACGAATTTATTGTTGTGGATTGATGCAAGCAGGACAAAAAAAATTGGACACTTTAGATAAAGTACCAATTATATTTGAACAACTTTTGTGACACCACTGGTTTCATTGCTGACACTTGATTGATTTGTTACCAACACCAACTTTACAAACTGAACTCGAACGCCGATGTCAAATGCATCTGTGCTTCCAGCCGTTGTGCTAAGTATTTGTATACATTTCCATCACAAGTCGAAAAGGATATTCTAGACGACGCAGGATTTTGGTAGATTTGATGTGGTCCTTCAGACTAATTCGTTGCATCCATCGGAGCATTTTCATGTCGGTTCGTTGAAGTTGTTGTTCCAGTTTGGTTGTCATTGGCCATGTTTCTGCACCATATAACAACACCTGACGTATCACAGATTTATAAAGTCTTGATCGTAGTGGTAGTGGGATGTCACGCCGCATCAATATAGAGGCAAGGAGATGCCATTTATTCCAGTCTGCACTTATGCGTGCTCGAACGGCAGCTTCAGCTGTTCCAGTACAATCCAGAACATCCCCTAGATATTGAAACGATGTGACTTTCTCTACATTAATGGCTTAAAAAACAGTGCTATTTCGAATTTGTTGTTGTGGATTAATGCAAGCAGGACAAACAAAATTGGACACTTTAGATAAAGAACCAATTACTTTTGAA